CAGCTTAGAGGTTTGTAGGCTGTTATTAAGTTGTTCTTTTGTTTTCAGTATAAGAGCAGTTTCTTATCTCTCTTTGTAAATCCATTTATTTATCGACTTGTGCCGCGGCTTAAGTATCAGCTGTAATAATTGATTGTACTTTTCTCTTTGACATGCTTTGTATGTCACTGGACATGATTTATATATCAAAAAGAGCGATCAAATTTCATCTATCCATTTTCATAAAAGCAAATGAAATCACTTCACACTATAGCGGAGTTCGTCGTATAAATATGCGGTACCGAAAAAAGACGAAAAAGCTAAGGTTTAAACTCGAAGCTTATATAGCATAACACAATTCTGTCTGGATTTCATGTAAGGTGCCTGTACTGAGTCTCTAGACGGTCAAGTCCAAGGAGCCATTACTGACCCTCCCCACCCATGAAGCTTATGACTAGTCAATCACTTCCCCCAAGCTCTGCTAGTAGTGATTTGGCTGGCTTAGCCCACAGGAAAAAATTCTCTGACTTTGCGCTGCTTTCTGACGTAAAACTTTAAACAAACTGACAAAATCTCCCCCCCCTACCCCCTCTGGTTTTCACACAAAACAAGGAAGCCACCCACCCACGGATAGGTCTGGGCCTGGGCTCTCAACTGACACCTAGCAAGACAGCAAGCCTCCTGCTTTGTTTTTGTTTTTGTTTTTGTTTTTTTCTCAGCCACACTAGCTTGAACACGGGCGATGACCGTGTTCCAACAAAAACTTAGCAGGCACCTTTTAGCAAAATCACACAGAACTGTACTCTACTTTTAGCGGTATCACTGGTAATAATAATAATAATAATAATAATAATTATTATTATTATTATTATTATTATTATTATTATTATAGTAGTAGTAGTAGTAATAATAATAATAATAATTTTAATTATAATGTTTTAAGCAAGTGATAGCTGTCATTAAACTTGATTTGTATTTTTGTGAACAACGTATGGATAAGCCTTTTCTTTTTGTATGGATTCCTAGAATCGGTCACAACTGGGTCCCTTTAGTACATTCGCTGCATGGTTTATTTCAAGTTGGGTCGAGTGATACCATTTTTAAACTATACATGCATCCTTCTTGTATAGAGGATCAAATCCGTCTGCAAGATGTACTACGTCAGGGATATGAATGTGAACTTATCTTGAATTTTAGCCCAAGTTATAGTGTAGATTGTCTGTATGTTCATTTACTCATGGACAAAAAAATTGTAATAAAAAAAGAAAAAAAATAAAGAGTCAATACAAATGATAAAAAAGGTCATCATTTATAAAAACAGAACAAAAAGAAACTAAAAAACAGTGGAGAGCTTATACCTTATTAGTTTCAAATTTGCATTAAAATACTTACCGTCGCGAAACAGGAAATTAAAAATTAAATTAAAAGTCGTTATGAAATTGGCAAGAAAACAGAATTCAAAATTGTTTGCAAAGTCAAGGTAAACAAATTCAGTGAGCTGCCGCTTGGAAGGTTTCTACAGAAACGAAGTTGAGAAAAGGATGAAAAATTAAAGGGGACGAAAGGGTAAGACAAGACAAGACAAGACACAAACATATCGAACTTGTCTAGTAGTTTAAATGATTAAATATAGTGTCACAAGGGGTCATATTTTTCAACAATTAAACATACGAATACCGTATTTACATTTAAAATAAAATCCTTTTCCTTTTCATATTGAAGCAATCGAACATCACACGAGTTCCTAATTTCCGCCAGGGATTCGATCAAACTTATAATAAGTGACATGTCGTTCGAAGACATTCTGTTCATTGGTATTTTATTCCCTTTTTCCAGAATTTGGATAGAAAACCTTTCCTGGTAAGGAGGGCAAAAGTTTAAAAATAAGCGAGTTAAGTATACCGAAAATGTGCAATAAATTATTTGTATTTCCTAATTAGTTATAAATTGATGATGAATGATTACAGATAACACTCTTTAATCGCAACAAACAGTACATCACAAAAATTTAAGTCCAACTTGATAAATTGGACTTAAATAGTTCTAAATCTCATTAGTAGTAGATTATTTAGAATAAAACGAGGATTCAATTTACAGGTAAGAAAAAAAATATGTATTATACATTCCAGTCGACCTTGTAGCAGCAATCAATTTTTTGCCAAGCTGTTCTTTTGTTCTTTTGTTAAAGCTGTTCGATTTTGTTTTGTTTTTAACTCGAAAGAATGAATGTTTTCAATCCATCTGGAAACTGGAACTGGTGTTCGAATCCTTACTAGGTTAAAACTGGCCGCCCGGGCATAAAGAAAAAGGCAAAACTTGACGCAAACTGAAGGTAAGTAAAGCCTAGGGGAAACGCTAAACTTTTCATGAGATGGACCAAAATCAGCTAATTTGGGTCGTCCTAATAAAGTAAGTTGACAAGTCTATCGGACCAAAAAGTGATATTAAAACGTGTTAGACGATCAAACTCATATTGACAAACTTAACTGAGCAAGACGTCGAGCTTTTCAAGACAATAACTCTGTAAGTTTAATTTGATTCGTCTCATGAAAAGTTCGACGTTTGGCCTAGGCATGAACTACATGTTAGCACACCATTACAAGTGAATTATCTCAGTGTTACAAGGTTCATCGCAATTTTTACATTTTTTTCGCCTCATCAAATAGAAGCGATTCTCTGCGCAAAGGAGAAAAAAATAGTTGTCTTGTTTTACGTGCTGCATTAAACGTGAAGTTAGAAAAGTTCAGGTTGTTATGATAATCGTGAAATACCAGCAAAGAAATGTACCAAATGTATGCTGCACTTGAAGAAGTTCTCTTTTGCTTATTAAATGCATTACATGTTTGTTGTCGTCTTAGCCGTCACCGCCGTTCTTTGAACGTATTGCAGTCCCCTAAAATACTTGTTGCCAACGAGCAGCGATGCTGTGAGGCGGCAGCATCATAGCCCATTTCCGAGTTCCCATGGGCCTCTGTATCAAAACGAGGTTAATTGCTCAGTATTTGATATGAAAATGATTTTTTATTCTCATGCAAATAAAACTCATTTTCACAAGAAAGGTTTTCCACTTGGCCACATTTTGAAAGTGAGGGTTTTTGAACTCGGAAGTGGCCTATTAAAAACCGTGTGCGAAAGTTTCAAGGCAGAATGAATCTCGAACCGTTGTAACATATTACGGTAGTGTAAGGTAACTTTTATGATGTGATGCCCGTGTGGGTAAAATCTTTGCTCGTTGGCACTTAGCGATAGCTATAACTATAACTAACTAGTTGTATACAAAAAAAATGCTTGGAAGTACAGCTAGAGGCGTTTGGTTATATTAAAAATAAAATAAAATAAAATAAAATAAAATACATGAAGCATCTGTGATAGACTTTCGGCTCGTTTGAAGTAAGGCGCAATTTTAGAATTTCCCTAAATTTTGGACATCTTATTGAATAAAGTGTTTGCTGTTGACAAAACTATCACGAAAGTAAACAACGTTTGCTTGCCGAGGCGTCTTTTTCCAAAATAGCCCCAAAGTGAATGATTAAATTACCTTCGGGACAAGGTAAAATTGTTGTTGTTGTTGTTTTTTTTTTTGAAAAGTGCATTTTGCCCAAAATTTGATTCGCTTTTATTCATTTTATTGCACAAAAAAAGAAAGATTTCATCTATTCTGTTTTCAAATTGACTTGCCTAAAGCTACGGTATAAATTCATTCAAACTTCTTAATTCACTTAAAGTCAGAGGCTCTGTCCTCATACAAGGAAAAAAAAAAGTTATACCCTGGCCTTTTTTTCGATATCAGGGAAATTCCAAAATAGCAATTCTTGAAATATATTTTAAGGGTATAAAAACGGTGACCTTATTCTTATTCAAACTTGTCACTTTCTATTCCAACAAAATCATCTGAAATTAATAAAATAAATTTTGCTTTAATTGATATGCACAGCTGTTTTACACAGCAGATGTACTTTTCGTATAACTGTTTTTGAAAGGAGATTACTTTGTAAAGGCTTAGTCAGTGGAGGAGAAAGGAAATTTACTGTTTTCAATCCAGGTTCCTCTTACGCCTTTGTTGATTTACAACTACATAACCTGTGAGAGACCACACATTTATTAGAATAACAGTAAGTTTTCCACATGCTGATGTATGTCGCCCGAATGGCGAATGGCGAATCAGACAATTAACTTCGGATGAAGGTTCGAAGGAAAACAATTTATGTACTGCAAAACTAGCTGGTACAGCTTAAATGTGGGTGCAATCGCGTTAAAATCTGCTGGGGTTATTTTATTTCATTTTAATTCATTTTATTAAATTAAATAATTATGTTGTGCTTGGATCTTAAACATATCTATTAATATGATACCGATCTTTGATAAATTGATTTTCCCATTTCATATTTTGGATCGACCTATTAGAAAAACTTTAAAAATAGATAATTTGGTATAGTTTGCACCTAGTAATTACACTTAATTCCCGAACTCTTTGATCGTCCCGTAGTAACTTCGCTTTTATCTCTCTTTGGTGTCTCAGGGCTGGTCAGAAGTGTCTGTAACAGAGAATGGTTTGGATTATTCTGATTTTTCTTCTTTTTGGACCAGCAACGGCGTCCTCGTCTCCATTAAGCATACCACCACCTCCAATGCTACCATCTGCACAAGGTCTTAATGCTCCAGCAGCTCCACCTGCACCCTCACAAGGGAGAATCACCCCAGCACCACCATCCTTAACAACGTCAGAAACTACAATGGCGCCACAGTCACCACCTACGCCAGTTTCACATGGCACCAGGCCTCCATCAGCTGCTTTATCTTCAGCGCCACGCACAAGTGCAATAAAGCCCAGTAAGTCACCATTACGTGTTAATGAAGTGATTCGATGTTTCAGTGGGACAAGTGGAGGGTCAACACTTACATACAGATACGTGTCGCCTTGGCTCCGCCACTGAGTGGTACATATAGGTTTCATGAAAATATGTACTAGCAACCGGCTAAGCGAAATAATTTTAATTGCCAGAAACGGGTCACAAGAGAATATGCCAATACAAGCATTCCTGACCAAACCTTACGTTTTATTAATTTCAGTGTCTGGAGATTTAGTGATTCAATATTATGACAAGTTGATCAGCACACAAGATCTTCTTATACGACTAAACATGACCCACAATCGATTCGATGTGAGCAACATATGTCCCTCTTTGAAATACACTTGTGAAACAGTCTGTCCTATGAATGGCAACAAAGAGGCTCAAGAGAGGATGTTTCAGAAACCTTGTTACTGCGATAAACTATGTCTGGAGCTTGGTGACTGTTGTTATGACTACTTTCTACGGTAAACTTAAATTCACTCATTTCTGTTGATGTTGATATTGTTATTGTTATTGTCGCCATTGTTTTTACTATTGCTGTTGTCGTTGTTATTGTTATCGTTGTTGTCGTTGTCGTTGCTGTTGCTGCTGTCTTTTTTGTTGTCCTTGTCCTTGTCGCTGTCGTTATCATTGTCATTGTCATTGCTATTGTTATCGTTCAGTCTCTCAGCTGACACTAAAAAAATTGTGACCATTGGTTACTCGTTCAGCTGACTAGAATGCATAACATTTTGCTTAATTACTTCTTTTGCTTTCCCTTCCAGGAGAATAATTACTTCTTGAGAGAGTACTAGTGACTTCGTTGCCTTCAAAAAGGTCGTTATCTAATAATAATTATTATCTTTTTTTTTTTTGAATTGTTAGTTGTGCAGCTCACCTGCACCTCACACCAAACAGTATTCATTCGAGGTATGTTTGCGTAAAGACGAACAAGACAAGGTTTCATGGCTACGCTCTAATTGGCAGCTGTCCGGCAGACAACTATGAGAAGGATTTCGACTCGTTATGCATTGCAAACTCTTTATCTCTCGAACTGCCAGTCTTAGACCTAGACGACAGGAGTGTATACAAGAACATGTTCTGTGCCAGATGCAATCAGGCTACAAACCCAGTGTACTGGAAGTTTTCTGCCTCCTGTATTGGGCGTTTCACAGAGCATGATATTCCAAAAAATAGAACATTGATGTTGGAGTTCATAAAGAATAACTGCAAATGGAGCTTTACCGTCCCGATTGTTAACAAAAACCTCAAGAGCTGCTTAGCCGTTAAAGTTTCATGTAAAACATCGAAACCACACAATTCACTGCTGTCTCGTCTTTGTTCGTTTTATGCCCTTCATTTTTGTCACAATATTGAGTACAAGAATCCCCATTGTGAAATATGTCAGGGAAACGACCTCAGTGCGTTTTCATGTGATTGCGACACTCCTCCAAACCCACCCTCGAACAATGACACCGCCGGTGGATTTCTGCCTTTGGATATCTTATTCGATTTCTCCTCTTCTCACCACACTGTTAAAATTGGACAAACAACAACAACGGTGAAGGACAAGAAATGCGAGCACGGATTTGTTTTTGATCCCTTTACAGACAAGTGTATAAAAGTGTATGTTCTGGATCGGCCAATGTCAAACAATGGTTCTTACGTCAGATACAAATGCAGGAAAGGTTCTGGCTTTGTCAAAATTAACTTAGAATCCATTACTGTGTGGCCAAATGGCTCAATATGGATCCCTTTGCACAAGAAAACATATGATAACGGAAGTTACTTTATAAATGGCTCTACGGCATTCATTTGCATGAATCTTACACGGCATTTTTCTGAAGACGCATATTTTAAGGGAAGGCAGATATTGACATTTGTGGGTTGTGCAATATCTATGATATCCTTGATTCTCCTCCTCGCCGTATATACCACCATTCCGGAGCTAAGAACGTTGCCTGGAAAAAATCTGATGAGTTTGTCAAGCTCCATGCTGTTTTATCACATTGTCTTTTTGATGGCCGGCCAGACAGCTTACCCATCCCTTTGCATGGTGGTATCTGTTGTCCTTCACTATACTCTGCTGTCATCGTTTTGCTGGATGAGTGTAATGGCTTTTGATGTTTCCAAGACGTTTGCAAAGACAGGTAATTGTAGCGAGGAGAGCATTATTGTTGGCACTCTATTTTAGCAGGCTTAATTTTGCAATATTTTAACAAATCCACTACAATGACCATTGGGTTCAATTTTCAACACTGTGTTGATTTTTCTTATTTTTAGTTTATTTCATTTATTTTTTATTTATTTCATTTTTTTGGCTTTCTAAGCACTATATGGTACACAGATTTATTTTCTTCTGTCACGATAACCTCGATTTCTCTAGGCGTTAGGGAAAAGTGAATACATCTAATTAAGTCAAAATGGTGGATCCAAGCGGATGGTTCCAGATCCTTCTTTATTAATAAATGACGTCAACATAACATCACTGCCATTGTCAAAGATTATTGATATGTTACCTACCTATTTGATTTTGTTACACAGTTACTATTTATGAGTGTTTTTGGCTTTGTAAGTGTATATTAAGTACAGTTCTGTAAGTAAATGTACTAAAAAGTAAGTTTGTATTTACAAGTGTCTGCCAATAAATTTAACGATAGACGTCATATGACCTCAAATTTAGAGAAAACGTAAAGACTTTATATCCCCAGGGATAAAGCAAATTAACATACTGTCCGTAATAACGAGGTTTCCGTATAAAGGGGTATCCGTAAAGCGGGGATTAAGGGTGCGTTCTTTTGGGAACATCCGGCTCAGGATCAGTGATCCGAGATCACTAGGATCATGGTAGATAAAATGAACGGATGAATACATTTTGGACAAGGATTCATCGTTTCATTTGACCTACCATGATCTGAGGGATCTCGGATCACTGATCCTGATACGAATCATCCTAAAGGAACGCACCCTAACTGTATACTGTTTACATGTCAGAAATATAGCTTTTGTCAAAGATCACAACTATATATGCGATACCTTTTTATATAATTATTATTATAATTATAATTATTATTATTATTATTATTATTATTATTATTATTATTATTATTATGTCGCAGTGTGAAACTTTGGAATGCTGTCCACATTATGAGTAGTATAGGGCGCATAGCGTAACCTACACCACTTGAGAAGCTATACTTAGAAGTAAAAAAAAGGTCGATACGAAACCTAATACAATCCTAAAATACGTAGTGATATGAATCTCTCTACTTAAAAAGCCAATTTAGAATATTATTAAATTCTGATACTCTGTAAAACTTTCGCTATCTCTACTAAAAGCTTATACATAGTGATATAAATCTCTCTACTAAAAAAGCCAATTTAGAATATTATTAAATTCTGATACCCTGTAAAACCTTCGCTATCTCTACAAAAACTTATTTATAATAGTATTATTATTATTAATAATTATTATTAATATTATATTATTATTATTATTATTATTATTATTATTATTATTATTATTATTATTATTATTGTTTTTATCCGCACCGCAGGTCAGACCTCCCGCTCGGTGCGCTCAGGAAGCGGTAAAATGGCCATGATAAAGTACCACATGTTTGCTTGGACAACTCCTGGAGCTATTGTCGTCACCAGCTATGTTCTTGACACATCGGGTGTAGTTTATATTGGTTACGGTAAGTTTGTTTATTAACTGTATATGTATATATAAATCGTATTTCATCGTTTTAGACGTGTGAGAAGATGAAAAAAATTCGGAAAAAAATGGTTTCAAATATGGTTCTGTAAATAGACAGTCCAACGTGAGCGTCTAGTTGCTTCATGGTGCTTAAAAAAAAATCAAACTTTGAGACTCACATTTTGTGAAATTGCCGGGGAACAGTGCCAATATATCTAATCGCTGGTAAGAATTGCTTGTGACGCTCTTGGCTTGGTATTAAGGTCGCATCCGGAAATGGATTGTTTCAGCTGTTTTGATCGGGCAATGGCTTATTGTTCGACGCTTTACTAAAAAGGTCGTTACCTTCTGAGATTTATACATGCACCGTACTTAACTTAAAATTTTGTTGTTACATCTAACACAGGATTATAATGTAGGCGTTCTTTTTCTTTATAAGCTGGCAGGGTCTGCTGGATTTCCAGTGGCAAAGCTCTTCTCGTTGTCCTTGGGTTACCAGTGGCTCTAGTTCTTGTTTTCAACTTTGTCGCAATTTCTCTAACGCTGCTGTCCATTTGGAAAGTTCAAAAGGTATCGGTTCAGGTCTTTATTTGTAACTTCTTTTCGCATCACTCATTTGTTGTTGTTATTTTCTGTTTATTTTGTCGTTGTTGTTGTTTTCATGGCCGTAACAACTACATAAATAATTACGGCTAATGATACGTATTCAGTTCTTCTCACATTTTAATGAGTTCAAAACATTTT